AACTAATAATGAAAAAAAAAAAAGAATAGAATGAAATAAGTTAAATACAAAAAATGTAACTAATAACTCACATAAAAAAATAACTCTTGAGTTATAAGCTAGGATAATAATATTTGAAATTTGTATTCAATAATGAAAATATTTCAGTACCCATGTCATCTAGCATTCGGTGGAATTATGTAGTAATATCTAATTTTCATATTGTTTACGCTTATACGTGTACTAAGAATAAATATTGTCCTTGAAAATTCACGTATAAGAATGGGTACTGTTTCCTTTTAAATTTACTGTTTTTTACGTAAAATTACTTGCCTTGTAGACAATGTTTTGTCCGGTGACCATTAGTTAATTTTTGAAGTTGGAAGTTTAAGCAATGCTATTGTTTGTTCTTTGTTGGCCCAAATGCATGTTTCGTTTCCTAAATGCCTCTATTTATATAGTGTTTATTTTTTTTTGTCATAAACGGTTTACTCTTAATTCAATTTAATAATAAAGCATTAATACTATTTAGCTGGCAGGAGGTGAACATTTATTACAAATACATTAAAAAAACTCCCAAATGGAATGGGAGGATGAATACTGAAGATCTTTCTTCACATACACAATCTTTATAGCAGAGAAGAGAAGGAATCTATGTCTACCATATGTTTGTAAAATTGGTCCACATAACACAATACAACATAACATACACGGAACAGAACTCCAACAAAAGAAAAGACTTGACTTCACAACCTTTTCTCCACATAATACAACTCCAAGCAAGTCTAAACACCAGAATAAATATAGTGAAAAAAAAATTAGGAAAAGAATCAGTTGAAGAATGAAATATTTCAAAATGGAATAAAAAAAGATAAAACACCTGCAACTAAGAAGCAAGGAAATTGGTTACTGTCAAAAAAATATAAACATCTCAAATCAACTAATATAGAAATAAATCTTCAATAATCCGAGCAAAACCAACATTTGCTAATTTACTATTAATGAGTACTAAATACATAGTAATAGTTCCCGGGAGATTTAAAGTGAAATAAGAAAAAGAAAACGTTTGCAAGTAAGAAACAAAAAGACAATGACATCAAAATATATAAAGGAATGGTTCAGGTATTCATCTTTTTTTTGCTACCAATATGTATCAAAAGTAACTGGAATATGATTTAACATTGTATTTGGCTGCCAACTGAATTAGTGAAGTAGGTATATTAGAAAATGAAATAGTAAAAAACAATGGACAGAAGGAAAAAAGTAGAAAATAAGAAACTTCCAAAGTTAAAACATAGTTAAATGATTATAACTTCCTACTAAATAGTAAACACCAAAGTAAATATAGTAAAGGAAAACCTTAGAGAAAAAATTAGTCCAAGGATGAAATGGTTCAAAGCAGAGGTAAGAAAATAAAACACCTCCAACTAAGAAGGCAAAAACTTGATTATTGTTAAAAAAACATAAACGCCTTAAACAAATGATATGAGAACAAATCTTCAATAATCCGGGCAACATCAATAATTAGTAAATCACTATTAACAATTACTCAATACATGGCAACAATTCTCGGGGGTTTTTTTTGCCCTTTTGTTTTGCTACCAACATGTATCAAAAGTAACTGAATTATGATTCAACATTATCATTGGCTACCAGCTGGATTATTGAAAGAGTTGCACTAAATAACAGAGGAACAAATTTTAATAGCTGTAATAGTAAAAAAAAAACTTACAAAAATAATCAGTTAAAGAATGAAATGGTTTAGAGTAGAATAAGGGGAATAAAATATTTGGAAGTAAGAAGTAAAAAGGTATGTTATTTTTCAAAAAAACATAAACACCCTTAACGAAATAATACTATTAACAATTACTCAATACATGGCAACAATTCTCGGGGGTTTTTTTTGCCCTTTTGTTTTGCTACCAACATGTATCAAAAGTAACTGAATTATGATTCAACATTATCATTGGCTACCAGCTGGATTATTGAAAGAGTTGCACTAAATAACAGAGGAACAAATTTTAATAGCTGTAATAGTAAAAAAAAAACTTACAAAAATAATCAGTTAAAGAATGAAATGGTTTAGAGTAGAATAAGGGGAATAAAATATTTGGAAGTAAGAAGTAAAAAGGTATGTTATTTTTCAAAAAAACATAAACACCCTTAACGAAATAATATGAGGATAAATCTTCAATAATCCGGGCAACAACAATACTTGCTAAATCACTTTCAACAATTACTCAGTACACGACAACAATAGAGAGGAAAAACATCATCACCACCAGGGACCAGCAGATTTGTAATAGAGAGGTAGAAATGAAGTAGAAGAAGTAAGGAATAAATACCTTAGAACAATAATGAAAGTAGATAGAGTTGATGCAGAAGCAGAAAAAACACATGAAACTAGAGATAACAAAAGGAACTCAGTAATGGAAATTAAAGAAAAGGAAGCAGAGAGAAAAGATAAACGATATGTACATGGAAATGAGGTGAAAAAGGTAAGAAATAAATACCTTAGAGGAATAAAGAAAGCGGATATAGTTGATGCAGAAGATCTAAAAACATTTGAAAACAAAGAGAATAGAACAGGGGAAAAACGTCTCTAATGAAAATTGAAGAAAAGGAAGAAGACAGAGAAGGTAGACGATAAGTATATGACAACGAAAGCAGGAGCAAAGCAAATGACTATAAGCATGAAAAAGAGTACAATATATTTATACGAAGGAAATAAACGTTTGAGTATATGGCGGTAGTAAATACTGGAAATAAAACTTAATAGAACCGCCATTACGCTGCAAACAAAAGGTAATAATTTGCTAAAAACATGTGTTATGCTGCATGATAAGTACCGTGGAACAGAGCGAATAACCTGCAGACAGTCAAAACAACGTATCTCGTTAGAAATACTTACCTTGCACTAAAAACAAATTTCTAAATATTCCCGACTAATATAACCTGCAGAGAAAAGGGTTAATAATTAGTAAAAAATAAAAACGTACAAATTTCTAAATATTCCCGACTAATATAACCTGCAGAGAAAAGGGTTAATAATTAGTAAAAATAAAAACGTAATTTAAAAAAAAGGAAAACAATTAAGAGATAACAATAACAAATAATACATCTGGAACTAAAATTACTAACAAATCTCTGGAAACTAAAAAAAGAATACAAATTATAATAAAAAACCTGCAGACAGTTAAAACAAAGTATCTGGTTAGAAATAATTACCTTGCACTAAAAACAAATGTCTAAATATTCCCGACTAATATAACCTGCAGAGAAAAGGGTTAATAATTAATAAAAATAGAACCTTAATTTAAAGAAAAAACAATTAAGGGATAACAATAACAAATAATACATCTGGAACTAACAATACTAACAAATCTGGAAACGTTTAAAAAAAAATATTATAATAAAAAACGAAACTAAATGTATAGAAACCCTAATAGATATGGGAAGAAAAGAACATTTAAAAATTTCAGAAACTAAAGGGGAAAAATGAAAAAAAAAAAAACAACACCAAAAGATCTGGAAAGACGAAAACCAGAGAAAAAAAGAACAAAATCAAATCTAAGAAAATATAAACGAAGAACAAAACTACAACACCAAATGCAGATATCTGATCCCATAAACCTCAATAACAGATCTGAGGGAAAAAAAGCATTAATAGATCTAAAAAAAAAGGGAATAAAAAACTAAAGGAAAAAACGAACCCAAGTCTACAAAAATACTAACAGATCTAGAAAAGTAGGGCTAAAAAAAACTAAAAAACATAGAACATAACGAAGTAAAAAAACGCACAGAACTGAGAAAATGAAAAAGAAGAATCGAATAAAAAAGGGGAGGAAAATGAAGCGAAATGTACAAAAACACTAACAGAATTGAAAAAATACACGGGGAAAAAAACAAATAAAAAAATCTAAAAAAAAAACCCAGATCTAAAAAAAGAAAAACGGCAAACAAAACTACAAAACAAATCCAACATAAAAATTAATTCCCACGTACCTTATGAACAGAAAGAACGGGAGAAGGGGAAAAAAATGCACCGAACATGCAACAAAAAGCAAAATGAACCCTACGAAAGCCCTAACCCATTTACGGAGGGAAAAATTGAAATTAACCCCATGAAAAACACAGGGAAACCCAAGAACATAAAAAAAGTCGGGGAAAAAAAAACCGAAGCCAAACCTAGGAAAAAAAATGGGAAACAAAACTACAAAACAAAAAAACATAAAAAATGATTCGCATAAACCTTACGCAAAGGAAAAAAGGAAGAAGGGGAAAAAAATGCAGAGAACATGCAAAAAAAAAAAAAAAAAACAGAATGAAACCCACCAAAAACCTAACCCATTTACGAAGGGGGAAAAAACTGAAACTAAGCCCACAAAAAACGCAACGAAACCCACAAACATAAAATAGAGGAAAAACTAAGAAGGAAAACACAATAAAGCAGAGGAAACCATAAAGGAGACGAAGCGGATCTATGAAGAGAAAACAAAGAATGAGAGCCTCGGTGAAAGAGAGATGCAGGCATAAAGTAGAAATGAAAAAAGGAAGAAGCTTCCGGAGGAAGCTAAACAAAGGCCACCGAAGAAAATGACAAAAATGGGCAGAAGAAAAACACAACGAAGGAAAAAAATTGAGGACAAAATAGTAAAAACAAATTCTAGAAGACAGAAACGACGTGTTTCAGTAAACACTAAGAGAGAGGAAAAGAGCAAACCGAAGGAAAAGACAAAAAACCCAAACAAAACAAAGGGAAAAAAATCAAACAAAGAATAAAACGGTAAAAATAGCTAAAAGGACAAAAAGAGTATAAAAAAAGCCTCAATAGAATGAAAGATGGGCAAAATCGAAAAATCACTTTACTCAGTACAGTAACTTTCCGACCTCCTTTAGTAATAGGTATAATATACCGAAGTCCCCGCAGCTTGACCCCCACCATAATTGTATCAAGCAATGAATTTCCTATTATTTCGGAATCAAATAAAAAGAAAAATAATTAAGAAAAAGAGAGAATATTTCTCTAAATCTAAAATCTACAAAGGTCAAAGAGGTTTAGAAAGTTGATTAAAAGAAGGAATAAGAACCAAGGCAGATAAAAGGGCTTGTCCTAATCCCCCCATTTTAAACACTAATCTTCATCGATTACTTTTAATCCCAATTTCCCAAATCAAATTAATTAAAGAAAACAAGTTTTTTTTTTTAATTGAAACGGAGCAAAAGCAGCCTTGATTGCCGTCACGCCCATGCCCCAAAAGACACTTGTTTTTTGGGCTCTCGTTTGTCATGATTCCCTCTGGGAAATTTAAACAAACACCTTAGCTTCAAGTTTCCCAAATTTGTTATTCCCAATTTCCCCCAATTTCCTATTTTTACCGATCGAGCTAGGTTTTTGTTCCTAAGGGAAACAGACGACGATGACGGTGAGGTTGTGATTCCGAGAAACGGAATTGGAGGCAAATCCGACAGAATGCGGTTGTTTCCGTCGAGTTCGAGCTCCGGCAACGGCGGAAAAGTCGATCGAGCACTGTTGTACCTCAACATCTACGATCTCACGCCTGTAAATAACTACCTTTACTGGTTTGGCCTCGGGATCTACCATTCAGGCATCGAAGGTAATGCCAAATTCGTGTTGATGCTTAAGTTGATTGTGAGCAAAATTGTGTATTTTATGTTCTTTGGGAATTTTAAGCTTCACTTTTATCATGTTTTCGAAGCGTGTGATTTTTTTTTTTAAAATACCGATGTTAATGTCAAATGATTTATTGTGGATTAATTGTATGAATGATGTTTGATAAGATGATGTCAATTTTTCTAAGAACAGATTTGGATATATTTGTCTCTTTAAGGGCATATATTTTCGATAACAAGCTTTTGGTGTGGTTTGATTCTAACTTTGTTTTCTATGGTTTTAGTAATTGGGATTAGTTTGTGTTTTTTGTGGGCAGATCTACTTAGTTATTGGGTTTTGCTCTTTAGTTCTAGGTTGACTTTAGAAATTGAAGTTTCCAAATTTGGAACTAATTGAAAAGTACCCAGATAGAGATTACAACTTTGCACATCTAGTTTCTTGCGTAATCTAACTTTGTTTTCTATGGTTTTAGTAATTGGGATTAGTTTGTGTTTTTTGTGGGCAGATCTACTTAGTTATTGGGTTTTGCTCTTTAGTTCTAGGTTGACTTTAGAAATTGAAGTTTCCAAATTTGGAACTAATTGAAAAGTACCCAGATAGAGATTACAACTTTGCACATCTAGTTTCTTGTGTAAAAAAAAAAAAAAAAAAAAAAAAAAAAAAAAACTTCGCACATTTAGTTCTATTTCAGGCAAATAACTCTCCTACATGGCGTTCTTGCTTTGGAATTCCTTGTGTTTATGGCGGGTGTTGTTCTGGGCCCCATAACGTCGATGCTGTAAAACAATGCATGGTCATGACCACCACATTAGTTCGCAGCGGAAATCTCCAGATTTTACATGTGTACTGAGATCATGCTAATTAAGCGATTAATCGAGACTTGGATATGGTTAGGGGTTAATGGAGACTCGTGGTTGTTTTGATTTTGCAATTACTATTAATTTCATATGGCTAATACGATTGTCTGATTAGTGCCTCATTTTTTCCCTCCTTGAAGAGAGAAGTCTGTAGATGAGTTCAACTTTTAAAGCTTGTTTCATGTCAAGCTACGTTGATGCTCATTATTGTAGCTGGAGAACGGGATATGGCAATCTATGTGGAGCATCTAAAATGTCCAAGCAACTAAAAATTGAGGACCTTTCTCCCAAAAAATAAAATCGAGGACCTTAAACTAATTTGTTTTTGACCTCTTGTCCCTCATAAGTGGCTCTCTCTTGGGTTACTTGTGCTTCATCGAACTGGGAAGATCCTGCATTAGTTTAACCAGCTTATGCCTAAAAAATTTGATAGGTCAAGGACTAGAAGTTAGAAAAGGTGGACATTGAAAATAAGAAGAGTGTGCATTATCATATGATAGGATTACTTTTGAAGCTTTCAACCCGAAAGCTGACTTCTGTTTTGCATTATGTAGAAAAAAATATAAGATGTACCACATAACATAGAGTCCTATTAAAGGTTTATGTCCAACTATTTGTGACTAATCACTCAGGGAGATCAATTACTCTTTATTTGTTAGAAACTAGTTGATTAAGAATCCAGATATGCAGCTAATCTCTCTCAAAGTAGTCATTTGGATATTATGCTTGAATGCTTGACCCCTGCATTTCTTTGTTTTATCTTCATGTTTTGCCAAACCCTTTGCTATCGTTTTTTCCCTTACTCTTGTACTCGAATAGTTGAATGATGTCTTCCTCCCCCAACTTATTTTATTGAGTTAGTGGTCAATACACCTAATACAGTTCTTTCCATCTTGACAAACAGCACATGGAATGGAATATGGCTTTGGAGCCCATGAGTACCCTTCTAGTGGGGTGTTTGAGGTGGAACCCAGAAGTTGCCCTGGATTTATCTTCAGACGATCAGTGTTGTTGGGCAGCATTGATCTGTCTCCTGGAGAATTTCGATCATTTATGGAACACATTTCCGGAAAATATCACGGTGACACTTATCATTTGATTGCCAAGAATTGCAACCATTTTACTAACGAAGTTTGCATGCGGCTTACTGGGAAGGCTATCCCTGGATGGGTCAATCGCCTAGCCCGAGTGGGTAAGAGAGAGGATCCTCTACTGCAACATTTTTATTACATTTATGAGCTATCATGTGTTCTTAAGATCGCTTCCAATCATCAAAAGTCTTATTTGGCTCAAGTTTGTTCCCTAGATATATATTCATCTTTAAACATGGGATATTTATTTTTGGCAAAGCTTTCTTTTTAACCGCTTGGTCCTCTAAGTGTGTATCATATGTAATATATGTTTACCTCCCTTTTGATGTTTACAAAATATCTGTAAAAAGCAGAGTCCCTGTGCTGTATGGCTATTGCACGTTAGGAAATGGATTTATAAGGGGTTTCTGAGGGTGATAGCCACGACTGCTAAGTCTCCCGCATGTGTACATTAGATTTTTATTTCTCTGATTGATAGTTGTTTGAAGTTGCAGGTTCTTTTTGCAATTGTCTTCTGCCAGAAAGTATTCAGATTAATGCAGTGAGACATCTTCCTGATCATGCAACTTATTCTGGTAAGTTTGTGTGGAGAATCATATATGCGATGATTTTTTGTTTTTGTTTTTGTTTTTTGTTTTTCTCTTGTTCCTTTTTGCTAGAAAATTGTACTTGTGCACTTCTTCTGAAAAGAAAAGAGAGGGTTTCATAAAGCCTCTACTTTTCAGAAGAATCAGAGAAAAACAATATATGGATTATGGGTGTTTCTGTTTTGGTTGTGATTACTGATTTTTTGGAATGTTATGCATATTCTTCTCTCGGTCGGTCCTTAGGAACATTGGTGTTATCATATCTTTCAGAACAAGATACCAAATCTTTGAGTTATTGCTAAATTAGAACATGAGTTTCTTTTGATTTTTTGATTTTCTATGTTAACGAGTAACTATCAACTGTGTCAAATGCAAATGCAGATGACGATAAAGATGAGTCAGCATCTCTTGCATCTTCAGGCACAGCCGAGAGCGATGAGCAGCCAGATCATCATCTGCTTACTACACCAAATGGTGATGTAGCATTTCTAATGGAAAAGCCAGTGAGGCTAGCGAGGGAACTCCTTTGATTTCTTCTCTAACTCTTTATCTAGCCCGTTTTGTTTCTCCCTGTTGTTTATACTTTATTTATGTGATCCAAGCGTGTAGGGTTAGGGAAACCGTGTACCAACTAAGTCATTTGAAAGTTGGAATATAGTCCTAGAATAGTAGCAATGACGTTCAATATTTGCCTGTCTATCACCTTTCTATACCATATGAAAAACGGCGACGCGTCAAATTTGTACCAACTTTGTTTTGTTTTGTTTTTTTGTTTTTTTGTTTTTCCTTTAAATTATTTTATGCCTGTTGCAGTGTTGTCCTCCTTAAATAGTTCCCGGAAATGACAAGGATTTGGAACATTTAAGAAATATGGTGCAAGGAGAAATAAGTTACTTATCGTATTGTTTATTCATCAAAGAATTTGATTTGGATAAATTAATTGCTTTCTAATTCAAACAATGAAGAACTTACGTCTGATGCATGTCTCACGTGCAAGCAAAAAAAAAAGAAAAAAGAAAAATTGTATGGGGTATTTTATGCGGACAAAAATTTAAAGGCACTTGTCTTCTTACTGGTAGTATCATTTTTTGATTGTTGAATTTGGTCAAAATAATATTAAATAAAAAAAGTATATAGAATTAATAATTTTTAATACAGATTTAATAATTAAAATGTAAAGAATTATTAGTAATTTATTTTTTTTGGTCTTACTAAAAAAGCTCTTAAATTTAAACTATCCTATCAAAAGTGATACCTATCTGGACTTAATTAAATGCTTGGAAGCATGTTGCTGCTCACAAGTTGCGCTGTGGGCGCTTTCTTCTTTTGTTGCTACTGCTGATTCCTACTCTGTTATGGAGTCATTTTTCTCTTTGCTCTTGTAAGCCATGAACACCAACATATAATAATCAAAACGAAAAACTTTTTCATTCAACTGTGACAATTAAATATATCTTCGTGCGCTGCTTAAAATTATAGAATACTTTTGACTTCCAAAATCAAAATTTGATTAAAAAATTAAGCCAAAATTAAATTAGCGAAAGAAAATCATCCTAAACACGACGTAAGTGTTTATTTACAATTGAAATCTTGTAACAATAGAATTTGTTTTTAGACTGCAAAGGAGCTTGTTTCTGATTGTTTTTAGACCGCAATAACATATAAGATGAAGGCATGTTCCGATTTGCCTTTTGGCACAAGCCCATCACTTGCCCGTATTGCAATGACGGATTAAAAAATTAAACTCAATTTACTAGAGTAAAATGAAATAACTAAAGTTTAGTGAAAGCACAGCACAAGCTCATCAGATGTATAAGATATAGTCTGTAGGACTGTATACGTATACCAAGCAAATTTGTAATACATTAATCAAAGAAATATGCTTAGGACAACAACGGGACTGATCTATGGGGTCTATATATTTTGGGATACATCTATTAGTGTGTGGTGTTGGACACCACTAGTACCCGTTGCATTGTTCTTCATCTCGGTACCACTTCCGAGTTCTGTTCTCCAATCTTTGAGTGATCCAATCATGAGTGTATGGTAACAAAATAAATACTGTTGCTGGTATTACAATTATAAGTGCAAAGAGTGAGTTATTTGGTGAGATTGTTTGCAAGGATATTAAATAGCAAAGAAAGGTTAACGTGTTCATTAGAATCCTATTGATTGTCCACCATCTAGATTCCAGCTCCAAAAGGAGCAAAACAATTCCATGTGTTGTAATGGCAAGGGCCAAGCTGTTCAACAACATGAAGAAGAGAAAACTCAAGTTTCCCATAACTACAGTTCCTGGAGGGTGGATTTTCTTATCATGAGTTGCGGTGGAATTGTTGTTGTCCTCCTGCCAAAGACCTCCAGGAGGGCTCAAGACAATCTGATATTCGACGGTCGCAAACAGAACAAGAGCTACCAATATCATACTCCGTGATTCCTCTGACACATCATTACTAACACGTTTAATATCTATATACCAACGTTCCAGCAGATTAATAGTTAGAGGCGGTAAACTTTTAGCTATTCTGCCATTGTTACCTTCAGGTTGGCCTTCTAATGCAATATCCAACTCATGATTCACGGCTGAAGTTGTGCTAGAAGTAGGAGGTGCTGAAACATTACAAGCTCCTTCTATGGTATTCAAATGTTCAGTCGCATTTGTGAGACTAGTGGAAATAGTAGGAGGTGAGGAAGGCTTGGAAGATTTCCACCAGACACAAGATGAAGTCTTCGAAGCTCTAGCACAACGTAGCATTTCCTTCATAACTTCTCGAGCTTCGCCGTTGTTTACTTGTGAGTCGCCTAATTCTAAGATTTTCAAGGCAGTAAAACCATCTGAATTCTTGACATCTAGCCCAACATTGCTGTCTATTAACACTCTTACTACCTGAAAATATTCCAATGATAGATCAAGTAATTAACTCATTGTTTTATTTGTTTGCTTTTTACCTTTTTCTCCTATATATTATAGGGTTATTTAGAATTTTTACACTTAGATTTTAGTGTTTTATTTTTATTTTTTTTAAAAAAAATCAGGTGGAGATTTGAACTTACATGATAAGAAAAAATAAGTGTAGATTTACTGTTAGGTTACGCTTGCAACCACTATACCGTTAGTTTTCAACAGTTGCAAAAATATACTCTCAGATGTATTTAATAGGCACATGAGTTTAATATACGCTTGATCGACTAATGAACTCACCAAAATACCATTAAAAGTATAGTTGATTTAATAAGAACTAACCTCTGGTTGATGAGTTTTTACGGCAATGTGTAACGCAGTATCGCCCACGTCATTTCCCCAATTCAGAATGTTGTACTCCGTTTTTTGGGATCCTTTCATCAAGGATGTTCGAACTTGGAATACTAGTAAGCTGAACACATCAAATTTCCTACTTTCCACAGCGATATGCAAAACAGTCTCACTGAGATTTGTCACATCTTGAATAGATGATGGGCAATAGAATAGAAATATTTTTACAAGACCCATGTTTCCCCGTTCTGCTGCATAATGGAGAGGAGTTTTACCCTCCTTTCCATGAACACGTACCAGATCGCTGTCGATATCTAAAAGCCGATCCACCATTTTCGTTTGCCCTTGTAGCGTAGCAAGGTGCAAAGGCGTAAATCCGTCTTGGTTTAGCTTCCTAGCAAGTGATGATTTCAATAGCATTGCCTCCGTCGCAAATTTGGCATGTCCAAGAGAAGCTGCTATGTGCAGAGGAGTATCAACAAATGGTGTATCATCAATGCGGTCTAGTACATGCGGGTCCTCCCGGATTAGGGAGTACAACATGTCAATATCTCCTCTTTCAGCAGCAGCTTTCATCCTTTCATCTACACTGGTCTCCAAGTCATGTAAAATCGTATAAAAGAAATTAAAAAAAAAAAAAAGGAAAGGCTGTAATAATTAGTTCGTTTATATATAAACTAATTACAGTCAAATATCTTATTCTAAACTAGAAAATTCAACATACGATATTAATTGGTATGTGACAAAAAGCTAGAGATTAGAGAAGTTAGTTAACGATTTCTCCAATTTTTGATAGGATAAAAATTTTCACCTGAGAGCAAGTTCGATAGTATTCACTATTGGAAGCAGAACAGCAGCAGAGGCTCCGGCACAATGCAGCATACTACTGATTTCGTCGCTTCCAAGTTCATCCGGCTGCTCTGAGATAGCCAAGGCTGTTAAACCGCCTAAGTTAATCGCATTTATGTCAACTTGACGGTCTATCAGCGTCCTCACAACCTGCATAAATTTATGATCAAAATAGTTTTATCTTACAATCCATTATAATAGAAAGATCAAACCAATGTCTGATAAAACAAAACATTGTATTAAGTTGCTGGCTAAGAGAAAAATATTCTAATTAATTACTTTGGTTTGCTTCCTGGTGGTGGCAACATGCAGCGGGGTGTTTCCATTGTCGTCTTTCCAATTTAGGTGCATCTTTTCCCATCTAGATTGGGGAAATCTCTCGTAACATTTCAGAATGATTTCAACACAATCAACATTATCATTGTCCAGAGCAACATGCAAAGCAGTTTGGTTGCGAATTGTCACATCTTCCAAGGCTGTTGGACATGTAGATAGGAAAGCAGACAAGAGTTGATTATTCCCATGTTTGGCTACGTAATGCAGAGGAGACATACCTTCTCTTCCTTGGACACGAACTAGGTCTCCGTCTCTGTCCATTGCAAGCAGCCGAAGCACTGTTTGGATGCGGTCGTTTTGTAAAGCGAGTTGGAGGGGACTAAACCCGTCCGGGTTTAACCTCTTCGCGAATGACGGATTTAGCCTCATCATCTCCACGGCGAAATGGGTGTGACCATTGATTGCCGCAAGGTGCATGGGGTTATCAACCAACATCTTATCGACTTCTTCGAGAATATTGGGACACTCTCGAATTAAGTCATAGAAGTCATCGATTTTGCCGTCGAGGGAAGCCGCTATCAACTTAGCATCCATTTGAGATCTGAGAAAAGGTCACAGCAATGTGGAAAAGGATGAGGAACTATAAAGGAGAGAGGCAGAGCTCAAGAGGTGAACTGGTTTCCCTTTTAAAACAACAAATTATATGGACTTTGGATGTTGGGAACTTCGTGGATGTTTCTAAGAAAGTAGTCTGTCATTAATTCTATTTACGACATACATTTTGGAGTCAAGTCTTCCATGGGATGTTCCTAAAAGTCTTCCAAGGAGCATGAGAAACTTTAGCAGCTTATGATTGGAAAATGGGTAGAGCGGAACGGGTCTTTAAAGAAAACTGGAGATAAGCCCAAGTCAACACACGATTTGTCTTTAATGTTTTGATCTTTCTAAATGCAGAGAAACGTGTGTGGACTGGAGCACTGAAAACCGTAGTCTAACGAAATTAATGATACTTTTCAACTAGTTAGTAGAAAAGGACTTTGATATTCCTTCATCACAAGCAAACATTCCTATATAATTGTCCAAACCCTTGATGAGAGAAAATCAAAGGGGAGTTTCTCTGGTAGGGCCGTTCTACTGGTAGTTCATTTTTTCTAGACCTATCAGTGAAACTCCCAAAATTAAATAAGAATGAGGAAATATCAGAGCTATTTCTATATATCCAAGTACACACAGAGTTTTATGACCTTTGTCTGAGATTTGTCCAAATCTCGTAATAAAATTTTCAGCCTGAAATTTCCATTCGTGATAGCTTCGTACTATATTGAAGCTTTCCCAACATGATTTTCCCCTTTTTTTTTTTTTTTTTTTTGCTTTAATGTAGTCTTGAATATATGTTTACATAGTAAACATGTGCATGTTATGCTGGAATGCTTGATCCCTGCATTTCTTCGTTTATCACCATGTTTTGTTGACCCCTTTCCTTTTTTTTTCCTTTTTTGAAAAAATAATTTTTATCCCACTCTTTTACAAAATTTTTTGGATATTGTCTGCTCCTTCACCAATTTATTTTATTAAGTTGTCAATACACCTAACACAATGGAATGGAGCTTATGGGCAGTACCGGAACCCAGAAGTTGCCCTGGATTTATCTTCGGACTATTGGCGTTGTTGAGCAGCATCGACGATACGTCTCCTGTAGAATTTCGATTATTTTCAGAGCACATTTTAGGAAACTATCATGTTGGGAAACGGGCATATTCTTCTTCCGGTTCTTCGGAACATTGGTCTTGTCATACAAAATCTTGGAATTATTGCTAACTTGGAACATCTGTTTCTTACTTAGGTTTTATTGACTTTGATTGTTAACAAGTAATTAGTAATTACCGTGTCAATGCAAATGCAGATGATAATAAGTAAGGTCAGATCTCTTGCATATTAAGGCAAATTTTTGGTTTTCATAAAGTCTAATTTTATTATAACCTAAGATGCTAAGCAAACATGAACTCATTTCCTCAAATATTCTCGAAGTGTGCTCATATCCTAAATTCGCGGGTTAGTGGGATTTCTTTTAAAGAGGGTCAAGTTTCTTGAACGGAAAGGAAATCAAACCCAATCATTTTTCATTTTATTTGATTTTAACCAGGTTAAAATAATAACCACGAGCCAGACATAAGAGAGTTGTATTAATCAATTAAAGTAATTAGTAATAATCATATAGAAATAAAAAGGAAAATATGAGATACATTTTGGAGTCAAAAGTCTTCCAAGGATTGTTCCTAAAAGTCTTCCAAGGAGCAGGCCCAGAAATATGCAAGTGGGGGGGCATGGTTGGAGGGTGAGGCCAAGTTGGTAGAAAGTAAGAAGCCACGATAATTTGACAAGTATGTTATGAACTTGCAGGTTCGAATAAGAAATAAAGTTTGAAATTGTATTGGGATATGTGATGAAAACATGAGTTGGAAATATGAGGAAACCAGAAATGGCATTTGCCTAGCTAAAACAATTTCTGAATTGGGTCAATTTTGAAATTAAAAAATAATACCAAAAAATTGTTGAAAAATAATAAATATGAAAAAAAATGAAAAATACAAAAAAGAAAAAAATTTAGATATCATACATGAAATTGGAGACAAAGCATTAATAAAAAAGTAATGAAAAAATAGAAATGCAGTTTTTATGGTAGGGAAGGTATTTTTACCTTACCGTTAGATTAACTTTTTACATATCATATCGTATTAAAAGTAATGAAAAAAAAAATACAATGGGAATTTTATCCGTGTTAAAAATTTGAGGTTTTTTTTTGTACAGACACACACTCAATTTTAAAAGTTTGGCGAAATGGTCTCTTAACATTTAATCTTTGTAGTTTACCTTTTAAACTTTAAAATTCACTGCAATGTTGGTCAAATTAAAAACGAAGTTAAAATTTTAGACGGTTTCTCTTATGTGAGTGTTTAATGAAGATAATTCTATTTTTTTTTTGCACTATATTGGTCCCATGTATGCATCATGAGCGATTTTTTTTTTTAATAAATTGAGGGAGACGCAATTTTTACCCCAAAAAGGTTAACTCCCAATTTTAAAATTTTTTTCACTCAAAATGTGTATATGAGGATCAATTTAATGTAAAAAAACTAGAAACACTCTCATCAAACACTCTATCTGTAAGAAGCTATTTAAAATTTTATCTTAATTTTAAACTTGACCAACGTGGCAACAAATTTTAAAGTTTAAGGGTAAATTTCTAAGATTAAAAATTAAAAGTCCAATTTGTCAAGTTATGGTTCATAATGTAGTGACCAAGAAAATTTCAGAATTTAAATAATGTAATTCATATATTTAAGTCAAGGATTTTTCCTAGAAAAATGAAATATATTATGGTATATTTTGTGATTGAAGGATTTGTGGAATTAACATCTGTATTTCTAAATTCTGTAACAGATTGCACATTAAGTTCATGTTTTCCCGATCAAGTAAATTCGATCGATAAATTCTCACCGTATTTTAAAACGGAAGAATTTCTAGTACAGATACAGTTTCAGAATCTTAATTTCAAGAATCTCCAAATACAGTACGAACTAGCATCCAATACACATATACATGAGAAAATAACTGTCAGTATAATTTTAACAATTTCAAAGAGAAAATCTAAAAAGTAGACAAAGATACAAGAGTTAAGTTTCATTTTTCTCTCTCCTTCCCTCACTTGGCCGGCCAAACTTAAGGGATTATAATAAACTTAGTGGTGGGGGATTAAACTGTACAGTAGATATATTTACTGTCAGGCACGATCACTATACCTTTAGTTCATACCATCAGACGTATTTGATAGGTGCATGTGTTAATTTTCTTTTTTCGGTCTGACGCATGAATTGACCAAAATACCCTTAAATTTATAGTTGATTAAATAAGAACGTACCTCAGGTTGATGAGTTTTTACAGCGATGTGTAACGCAGTGTCAAAAACGTTATTTTGCCAATTCAGTCTTGTACTCCCTGATTTCTGATCCTTTATCAACGGCTGTTCGAAGTCTGAGTACTAGTAAACAAAATGCATCAAATTTCTTATTTTTCACAGCGATTTGCAAAGCAGTATCCTCATGATTTGTCACATCTTCAATAGATGATGGGCAACGTTGTAGAAATGTTTTTAAAAGATAAACGTTTCCCTGTTCTGCTGCATAATGAAGAGGAGTTTTGCCCTCCTTCCCATGAACACGAATGAGTTCACTGTCAGCAAATATAAGTGAATATACCATTAAGGTTTGCTTTTTTAGCAAAGCAAGGTGCAAAGGCGTAAATCCCTCTTGGTTTAACTTCCTAGCAAATGATGGTTTCAACTGCATTGTTTCCATCGCAAATTCTGTTTTCCCAAAAGAAGCTGCTACATGCATAGGAGTATCAACAAATGGTGTCTCATCAATGCGATCTAGTACGTGTGGGTCCTCTCTGATTAGAGTGTACAACTTGTCAATATCTCCTCCTTGAGGCTTTCAACCTCTCATCCACACTGACCTCCAAGTCATGCAAAATCATTAAAGAGGTAAATAAAGTAAGGAAAGAGTCATTTGGAAGTGGAAGACACTATATGATGCAATGCAGCGGGAGTGGAACTTCATGGCCCAGTTGGAACACCCAAAGCCCCAAATACGTACGTTTTTGACAAAATATACTTTCGGAAGTCAAAATGGCACTTTTTCCGTTTTTAGGATTTATTTTTGTAATTTCATTAATGTAAGGACCTTTCGGCAATTTTCGTTATGTTTTGCATGAAGGGTTTCGTTTATATGGTTTTGTTGAACACTTAGGGGGGTGGTTGGAAGAATAAAAATAAAAACCTCAGATTGAGAGTTTCTCAATTTCCAGATTCAATTTCTCGGTATTCTTGTGAATCAACGAGTTTTGAATTGTAATTTTCATTTCCCCTATGTACGCTGCATCATATTGGTATCAGATTTGGAACGATCCTGCACCATGCCACCTTGAAGACGTATGAATGCTACCCCTATGGACGACGTTCTCCAGCGCGACGAAATTGTGCGGCTGCGCCAGCAGGTGGAGCAGTTGACTCAGTAAATGGCCGCCTTGCAACAACCTCAACCTCCACTGGATCAAGATCTTGATGAGGACGATTCAGACCTCGACTAGAATCCTTTTGCCGCCCTACCTGCGATTCCTCCCCAAGCCGATCGACGTTGGGAAGCCGGTTTCAAGGTGGATATTCTTGAATTTCATGGTTGTCTCTAGGCGGATGAATTCCTGGATTGGCTGCATATGGTTGAGGAAATTCTAGACTTCAAAGAGGTCCTTGATCCTCGTCGTGTCCCCTTGGTCACCATGAGGTTGCGTGGTAGGGCACAAGCATAGTGGCAGCAGTCCAAGAATAATTGATTGCGTGCTGGTAAGGACAAAATTTCCACGTGGCCGAAATTCAAAAAGCATCTGCGGGCCGCGTTCCTCCCATACAATTATGAACGCGAATTATATTAGCGATTTCAACTTTTGCGCCAGGGAACACGTTCTGTGGACGACTATACTGTAGAATTTTATGAGTTGTTGGCTCGCACAGATCTTGTTGAAACGTCAACCTAATTGGTTTCACGTTTTATTAGTGGTCTGCGTTTGCAACTCCAGGACGTGCTGAATATGTTTGACCCT